AGGAGGAGAACAGAAACTTGCATAACATACCAACTATGCCCTGTGCTGAAATAAACGTACACGACATCCGCTACACTGTTAACAGAACACACAACTGGAAGACACCTGGTGTAGACAACATTCACAATTTCTGGTACAAAAAGTTTACATCACTGCACCAGGAACTAGCTAAACATCTAACGCATATCATCATCAAGCCACAAGACATGCCAAAATTTCTTACTCAGGGCATCGCCTACATGAACCCTAAAAATACCACCACCACAGATCCCACACAATACAGACCAATTACATGTCTTCCAACACACTACAAATTATTGACATCCTGTATCAGAAACAAAATATACAAACATGTTGAAGAACACGACATTCTTACGGAACAACAAAAAGGTTGCCGTAGAAATCACAGGGGATGCAAAGAACAGTTACTCATAGATTCAGTCATTCTACGGTGAGCACACAAACAACACAGAAACATACACATGGCATATATAGACTACAGAAAAGCATTCGACAGTGTTCCACACAGTTGGCTGCTACATATTCTACATATGTACAAAATACATCCATCACTCATTGCATTCTTCGAAAACACTATGCAGCACTGGAGAACAACACTGCATCTCAGAGTTAGTAACACTTCCATACAAACAAACCAAATATTCATTAGGCAAGGAATTTTTCAAGGAGATTCCTTGAGTCCTCTCTGGTTCTGCCTAGCCCTGAACTCATTATCCAATATGTTAAACAACACGCATTATGGCTACAATATCAGACATGAAAAAACAACACAGTTTACGTTGTCGCATCTCATGTACATGGGCGACATAAAACTTTATGCATCCACACAGAAACAACTTCATCAACTCCTACAAATCACACACTCGTACACTAAGGACATACAAATGGAGTTTGGCTTAGACAAATACAAAAAACTTCACATAGAAAAAGGAATCCTGAAGAAAGAAGATTTTGCACTTGGAAATGGGGACATTATTGAATCCATGAAAGAGGGCGAGTTCTACAAGTATTTAGGATTCCAACAGGGTAAGCTTAGCCTGTTGGAATCCTAAATACTTGTAGAACTTAGTCATTAATGCGTCACCCGGAACTTTCGATAAAATTCTAGTATTGGACGCTAGGTCCTTAACAGCAACCTCCTGACCCGATGGAAAAAAACCCAGAAACAATCCAAGAATTCGAGTGTTGTCCTAACATAACATACACAAATAAAGCAAAGATTAATTAAAGAATACCAAAGTAGGTTAAATGCCATTCTCAAAACACAGCTAAATGCAAAACACACAGTTAAAGCAATAAACACATATGTCATCCCAGTATTCACATACTCTTTTGGAGTTATACATTGGACTCTCGCAGATCTTGAGTAACTCCAAAGGAAAACAAGAACAACACTTACTAAGCATAAACAACATCATCCTAAATCTGTCACAGAAAGATTAATCCTTCCACATAAATATGGCGGACGTGTCTTGATTGACATAGTTAATCTTCACTACAAATAAATACAGTCACTGTGAGAGTTTTTCTACAGGAAACAACAAACATCATAATTACATAAAGCAGTAGCTCTAGCAGACTCAAATAACACACCATTAAACTTACACTCACAACATACAGACATGACACAACATATAAAAGGCATAAACACCATCAAGCAATCGTGAGCTCGAAAGGCACTCCATGGCAGGCATCCTTACGACCTGGCCCAGGATTTTGTTGACAAAACTGCGTCAAACAGCTGGTTAGATCGGGGATGCCTTTTTGGGGAGACGGAAGGATTCATGATTGTCATATAGGACCAGGTCATAAATACTAAAAACTACAGAAAACACAAACTCAAAGATACAACAGTCACAAATGTCACATCATGCCAGATACAACACATCACTTATGATTGCAAGCTCTTGGAACAGACAGATTACTTACACAGACACAATCAAGTAGCAAATATAATACACCAAGAGCTTGCAAAGAAACACAAATTATTAGGCAACCACGAACCATACTACAAGTACATTCCACAGACAGTATTGGAAAATAACACGCACAAAATGTACTACGACAGAGCCATAATTACAGATAAAACAATTTACCACAACAGACCAGACATCACACTCATTGACAAACACAATAAAATCACGTACATTATCCATTGCAAACACTCACAATATACAAAACACATGCACTGAAAAAATTAGCAAGTACACAGAATTCGCCCAGGAAATCAGGCATCTGTGGAGAATGGAAAGGGTGCTTATTGTACTTGTTCTCTCCTGTACAGGTGTGATACCACACACACTACACACAAGCCTGGGAACATTACAATTGAATAGAAATACATACATCACACTACAGAAGGCCACTATATTGAATACATGCCACATTGTTAGGAAATTCCTGAATACAGACACATACACACTTATTTAATTTTAGTTCTTGATTGCTATGCCTTGACTCTGGTCCAGCATAGTACATAGCCACCGGTGTGAACTGAGTATAACTCACTAGACCCAACATAATAATGATACCTAACTATTCTGTAATTGAAATTATCAAGATGGCAAATAATTTCAAAAATTTGAAGTGTTTTTCAGCTAGTTATCATAACTCATTTGATTATTTTTTTAAGCAAACAATTTGTTTGAATAAGTTTCTATTTGTAAATGAAGCTGAAATATAAATAAAACAAAGCATTTGAATAATATTAATCATAAAAATAATCTTTCTAATTGTGTTTTAATCTAACTAGAAAGTTTATAATTTCAAATGAAATTTTTAATGAAATTAATATCAAATGATAGTATTCAAATGAAATTAAGTCAGTAATAATTATTACTTAATAAAAGGTTTTAGTAATAAATTCTTACTGAATACTTCTATAATTTCAACTTTTATTTTGATATAGCAAATGATTTAAACATGTAACAAATTATATAATAATTGTATGCATGAAGGATGGCCAACTAAGACATACTTTGGAGAACTATATTTAAGGAATTAGTGTTGTTAAGAGCTGATAATGAGGCAAACAGAGCATGTCATGATGTCATTATCAGTGTTATTTCTCTAATTATATCTTTGTTAATCAGGTTAAGTTTATTTACTGCATGGACATTGATGCAATGTGATTTATTCACTTTTATTTTTGAAAGGGTATAGTGATGTTATCTAAGCTTTTCATTTAAAATCGTTGAATGTTTAGATATGTTACACTGAGCATTCAATTGTGAATAGAGTTTGAGCCAGAAATTACTCTTAGAGTCACTTCTGGCTCATAAACTATGCTTTGGCCATTATTTGTACAAATCTCCTAAGTTAATCAGTCACTTCAAGTTTAATAATTGTAAGAATATCTGTTTTAATGACTATTATACCAAAAGCTCATCCATTACTAAATTTTAAAAGTTCAAGATCATAAACATCTGTGCCTACTATGTAATAGAATAAGCAGTATGATGTAACAATTGACTACAAACTATTGATTTTTCATAAAGGTGATGCTTAAGCATTGCCTTTATGAAAAATCAATAGTTCGTAGTCAATTCTTGTTATGGATAACGAGAATTATTTCCAAAGTGGGAGTTGTCAAAAAATCAAAGTTGACAGAAAATTCAAGATATTTTAAGTTGATACAAAGAAAATGAAGGAGAAAATAAAAAGTGAGCACTACAAAGTGGACGAAAAATATTTATTAAAAAATTAGACAAATCCAAGAATTTTGCAATCTTCATCATTTGATTTTCCTTCAAGCAATCATCAGGATATGATTCTAAATATTTGAGCAGTGTTTATCAAGTTTTGTAATTAACTTTCAAATAGAAATTTCAGTAATTACATGATTACAAGAAATTATTTATTTAATTTTTTCTGTTTGAATAAAAAAACTTGCCCTTTTTTCCTTATAAGATGCACTGTTGTATTGGATGCATTACATTTTTTATGTCAATTTTTTGGGGGAAAAATATAAAATATCAAATAACATTTATTTTATTTGATATAAATTTTTTTTATTTTTAAACCTTGTTCAGTTCTCTTTGTTTCATTTGCAGGTCAGAGAAATAGAAAAGATTTTCCAAAGAAGACATGAATTACTTAAGAAGCTATTTTGATATCATTTCAATGATTTATAAGTATGTTGTACTTAAATGAATTTAACAATGAAGATAAGTTTTTAATGCAAACAATAGGAATATTCTCTAATTTTCTATAATCATAAAAACATTGGAGTGTAGGAGAAATGAAGAAAGCTGCTGTGCCCCAGGACTTATCAGAAGAATGGGGTCTATGATCAGCAGCTTTTTTCGGACAGGTGGTCATTTATTGTCATCTGGGATTTCCGAGTCCACTCGGCAAACAGTGCTTGCACTGTTGGAAGAAATGCGACAGAGGGAAAATTCACATATTCATTGGTCGGCCATAGAAAGTTTTCTTGTGCATATTCCAAAGGTAGATAAAATACTGATATTTTAAAAAATGTTTACTCATTATGTATATTTTGAATATTTGTTCAGTATAATATTAGTTATAATTTAATGATTAGAAACACTCAAAAGTATTTGATATGAAGTTTTGAAACATCTTTGTATTACAGTATGTTGTTTTCAGATTCTGAATAAATATAAAACTATTATGATTAACATTAATAATAAATTTAATTTCATATTATGATACAGTAGAGCAGCAATTTCTAACCAGGGGTACATGGTTGATGGTTTAGGGGTACACACAAAAGAAAATTAATAATGGCAGATGTAGGCCTACTGTAAGAATACAGTGGAACCCCGGTTAACGAACGTCCTGGTTAACGACCAAATCGGTTAACGANAGAAATAAACTACTTAAAAATATTTGTAAAAAATTATCAAATTTTGAAATTTTTTTGAAATGTTATTTTTAGATCTTTGTATAGATTTTAAGCATTTGAAATAGCTTAAGTCACAAAATGAGTTGGTATATGTTTGGTAGAAGTTACTTTTAGGTCATTTCTATATATAATAGTATCTAAAAGTAACTGTTACCACCACTACTACTACTAGTTAACAATTCTGAAATTATTTTTTATGCATAAATGTATCAAATGCACAGAACATATTAAAATACAAATCTAATATTACAACAGAATTCTTTGTTGCAACAAAATTATCCCTTTGTAAGAAACTTGAACACTTGTTCTTTTCTTTTTCTTATAATTTCCTTGGCATTCTGAAGCACAGAACTTCAAAACCATAAGAATCACTTAAAAGTACCATGAACTGTACCATAATTGTGTTCTAGTAATTAAAACAGTGGAAAAAAACTACAATAAAAAAAATTGCAAAAACTTCCTGAAGATCCACCAAAGCGGAAGAAGCTTGTCTCTAATGCCATGTCATCAGTTGGGAGGCCTTTCTACAGAGGGTGCTGATATTAATAATTTTCTTACTTTCAACAACTATTGTGGAAGCATGTAGTATATGAGAGAGCTGGTTATATGAAGGTTATATTTTCATTTTTGCAATTTTCTGTGGGGTAAATACCACCATGGATTATTTGCATGAAATTACAGTAATATTAACAGTTTAATTTCTTTATCATTTAATTTTCTGAATTGCCATTTAACATCTAATACCTGTCATTGTATTTAATACAATGATGGGCATTAGATATTAAATGCCAATTTTCAAAAAGTAGCAAAGAATAAAAATAACATTAATGTAATAATATATTAACAGAAAAATGCACAAATTAAATTTGTATTGTAAAATACTTTTTTTAATCTACAATAAAAATTTCCCAAGATTTTTTACAAAGTTAAAGTTAGAAATTTGTTGATAATTTATTTACAGGATTAACAATAAAATTTATGCAAAAAAGTAACCTGTAAACTTGTGAAACTATAGTTATAAGAAGTTACAATAATATATTAAAATATGGTATTTCATATTACTTTTTAGCTCTGACATATTAAATTTACAGCATTAATAATAATAATAATAATAATAAAGACAGATTATTTACATAGACACAATCAAGTAGCAAATATAATACACCAAGAGCTTGCAAAGAAACACAAATTATCAGACATCCACGAACCATACTACAAATACATTCCACAGACAGTATTGGAAAATAACACGCACAAAATGTATTACGACAGAACCATAATCACAGATAAAACAATTTACCACAACAGACCAGACATCACACTCATTGACAAACACAATAAAATCACATACATTATAGACATAGCCATTCCAAACACTCACAATGTACAAAACACATGCACTGAAAAAATTAGCAA